CACTTCTAAAGTAAGCTGACTTAATTTTTCTACTTTGTAGCATCTTAATTTCTTGAGTCGCAATCACTTCTGGCCTCGGACCAGCGTTCTCACTCACATTACATTTCAATCAATTCGTTTATTGGTTTCCAACAAATGCTTGCTTCCAAGTCCGGCCAATTCTGTTGCGTTCACTTTCGCAGTAATGCCATCTTTTCTCACGATCTGCTATGGGTTACCTAACAAATTAGTTTAGGTTCATTAGCTAAAGTTGGTAGCCAGTCTCGGAGAAGTGCAATGAGGTAGTGATGCCGACTAACGAATAGACTTGAATCTTTAATATTTAACATTACTTTTTATTTCCTGCCAATACTTCGTCTGTTTTCAGCCAATATGCGTAAACGGCCCTGTCAATTCTGGTCCGAAACATGGACCTTGAATTCTCGACAGCGATGTCTGAAGGACTACTCTAGAGTGGTCGTTTATATAACTTTTTGTCATGTAGCACGTTACTGGGCTTGCAAACTAGCATACAGCGGTTCGGTCGAAAGTAACTTCGAGTAAACCCTGTACCTGGTTCCCTTGGCATGGTGTGAAATTGAGCGCAAATTCCATCCTGGTATAATACTACAGAATAACTGTTCTGAGCTCAAAGCCATAGAGAAAGCAAAGGGAAACTAATTCACTATATTCCCCAATGAATATCAGTTATCACATCATGTCTTAAGCGACTCTTGGGCCTTAAAATCACTCAGACCTCAAGTGGAACTCGTACCTCCATTGCTAAAGATGCAAGAAAAATGATCGGCCCTCTGTATTGCTCTAGTAAGTACCTAACTCCTCATGCTACCCTTTGCCCATACAAGCGCCAGATCAGGCCTAAAAGGGTGTACTGCTGTCAGTCCTCACTTTCCAGTCTCGATAAAGTTAAAAAAAAGTCTCCGCATCCTTGTGGGTGTTGAATTATTTTCCACCCTGCAACACTTCCATCACAGACGAGATGTCGCAAGCCTCTCACTGTCTATGGCTACTAACATGGTAAGTGCTCAGACAAAGTACATTCCTTAGTTCCAGCAGTTTTAATCTTCACGGCTAAGACTCACCCTGCCACGCCCATTGTAGCAAACTGTTATAGTAGAACACACCTATTCTATTGCTAATAGACTCTCCCACCTATAATAAGTAGGAGTAGTAAGAGTAACAAGGGAGTCGCTCAGTGGGTCGGTCTGAGTTCAGTCTGAAGTCGGACGACCGGCTGACCGGTTGAACTCTCTGCCTTCGGGCGGGGAGGAATCTCTTTCGGGGAGGTAAACCGACCCTGAACCCGTTTATACGGGTTCAACGGGCATATTTTTGGCCGAGCCCACGGGCTCGGAGATCCCCCGTTAAACCGGCCTTGTGCCACATGATGCCCTCGTGGGGGGGTAACTAAATACCGTCGCTCAGTGGGTCAGTCAGTCGATGCCGGACGACCGTTAGTCGGATACTAAATTATCAGCCACCACAACTAGATTTCTCTGCGTCATTACCTATTATATCAAGTTCCTAACGTTTTGTACGTCGAACCTATTTTAGGACCGACTTAGTACAACTACAAGCCTCCACTGTGAAATCACTCCATAACACAAACCACCCTCATTCCCTTCATATTTCCCTGGTGGGATGATTCTTCTCAAGGACCACTGCGGGCTAATCCTTTTCAAGTCCAGGGATAACCGTTATTTTCCCCACCTATCCGCATAAACTGTCTCTTACTCTGTAACCCCCTGCTACGAGTGACTACCGCGCGTTGTGAAGAGGGAAGCTCACTGTAAAAAAATATGAAGCTTTGGAGAGGTATGATCGCCTACATCCTAAAGGGACATTTAGTTTAGCGCTAGAAGCATGGATGTCAGACGAGTGGGCATAGATTTGAGTCATTTTGATATTTAGAAAACATTTCATATATCCTGCATTTTTTATCTTTGACAGAATCAGCTTATAAAAGAGTCTGCTACTATACGAATTGGTCACAATACCGGAAAGCACCGGCAAAATTCCTTCCCTACCACATCCACCCTTTTCTTTGTACTCATCTTATATTTGCGTTCGCGAAGATCAATTCACAAAAGCACGTGGCACCTTATGAATGGAATGATATCGATTACCCATGTAAGTTAAATAAACAAGAAATTTCTTGTTTCATTGAATATTCAATTGCATCTTTAAAACTTGGGAATCTCTTTATCTAAAAACCGCTTATATTATCATTAGTAAAACACGCAATCTGTCTTGCTTTTTAACGTTTTTTGTTTACCTAACTTTTTATATATTAAAAACAAACCTTTAATTTTTGGGTGCCTCTAAAATACGTCATGTTTATAATGTTTATATACGTACAATATATATGTTCCAAAAATCGTTTGGCTTTGAACAACCCACTAGCTTTTGAAGGGCCGTTAGACACACGAACCAAACAATACCAACGGTTATCATAGCCGGGACTGATAGTGGCGACAAGCTCTCAGTGTCTCTATGAAATGCTTCCGTGGCACGCAACTCAACTAACCTCTAGTCCAGCTCCAAGCAAGAGAATGGACGAAAACGGATAACTGGCGCCTCCTAACTAGCTATTTCGGTTAGTTATAGCACGACAGCCCAGAAAGTCAGTCCATCTAGAGCAAGGAAAACTTTGATTTTAAACGTCCGCTGCATTGCCGTCAGCAAGTTGGCTGCAAACACTGACATGGCAACTCCTGCATTCAAGCCGTCCCCACATGTAATGCCCCGTATTCCTTTAGATATTTAGAGCGGTAGAGGGGGTATGTAGTCTGGGCAGCGCCATATACCATCACCCACGCCTGCGCAGGGGAGAGGTCACACCAGTTTCACCTTTAAAGGACTGAATTTTGACAAAACTACGGTCAGTTCAATTAGGACTCATTTAATTACACACGGAAACCTATCTTCATGTGCAACATACTTGTAGAAAATACAAGGATAATAGTCTCTTTCACATTTAATAAAAAGACTAAAAATAATAGAAGCACTAATTATAAAAAGAAAAAGCCAAAATCTCAATAACATCAACTATGAACACGGCTACAATGAGCTGACCGTGTTTGGGAAATATAAGAATTCTCTAGAATATAATATATATATATATATATATATATATATATACACACACACACACATATATATATATATATATATATATATATATATATATATATATATAGAAAACATATCGAAAACATAAAAAATCGCTACACAATTGCAGACATGTTTCGATGCACATACAAAGCATCTCATCAGGCTATTGTAAATTACTGAAATTACTAAATTTTGGATGAGAAGCGTTGTATGCGTATCGAAACACGAATACAATTATGTTGCGATTTTGGCATGTTTTCGATGTAATATCTAAAATAAAGAATATTGCTCTACTTTGTACTAATCCCTCGTTAAATTAAATGCTGCGAACGTTGAAATTGTACTCTACTCGTTCTCATCTTTCCTGGATATATATATATATATATATATATATATATATATATATATATATAGGAGGCACGGTGGATAGCGACTTGGATTGAGGAATCGGAGAGCTGCGTTCGAATTCCAGTCGATTCCATTACACTCACTTACGTGCTAATACCCTTGGGAAAGGTGTGAATTCTCTTCTTCTCCCTCCAGCTATGGGTAAAATAGCAGGACAGACTGGGTTCTATAGCCTTGGATGGCAACTGGTCTAGGAGAAGGATAACCCTGAATTCAAAACCTGCGGAGGGTCGTTTGGGAATATTGTGGCACGTAATGCACCAGGTCTCTGTATTCGGCCCTTCAAAAAGTGTGGATGGTCCTGCACGAAGCCTTCACCACTATAATCAAATCTCATGTGTCGGTGTCGGGGTGTCGGTTTCCTGGAAACTGATCTGCTTGACCCTCATACGTCGAATTCGACGGGAGAGTCGAGTATATATATATATATATATATATATATATATATATATATATATAAATGAAGAAATATAGTTTTAAGGCATGCTATATTTATGGGATAAAGTGCTCAATATCAGAGATAGAGCGTATGTAAATATAAATATAAAAGTAAACATTGAAGTCAACACTCAGGGCGACAAGCTGTTTCATGCTGGACGCAATCGTCAGGCGGCCTGATGATTGTGTCCAGCATGAAACAGCCTGTCGCCTTTGAGTCTGACTTCAATGTTCACTTATATATATATATATATATATATCATTATTATTATTATTACGTACACTCTCACAAGTTTTAGCAACGTAAAATATATTGGCATATGATAACTAAGGAGACTACAAGGAAAGACGGAAGAGAGAGTGCAGATCTAACGACCTCATGAGAAAGACAGAGAGACTTAGAGAGACTAAGGGAGATAGTGATTGTTTTATTTTAAACATTTTTTGAGATAAGGTTTTGTACCTAACGAGATCCATTTCAACAGTAAGCCCCCAAATAATGAAAAGTTTAATGTCAAAGCGGCTCGATAAAGATTCTTCAGTTGGTTGATTTTACGATATGTGAATTTTGTCTGGGTCACGCAGTGAGAGTCAAACTCACTTCCCAGGGCTAATGGTCAACCAAACTAGCCTCGCTGACCACAAGTCTACGACGCACTGCCTTCTGGGTAGAGAGATGAATGTCAGACGATGTCATAATATTCAGCACAAAGCACAAAACAAAGGGACGAATACGAAATACGTCAATTTGTTTTTGTTCCCGGCAATGCTTTTGGTAAAGGCATGATCTCACTTATCCCTGCGAACTGTCAAGTTGCTAGAATATCAACTCGAAATTCTTCCCCATCACCTTAGGAAATGCCTGGTAGCTTTGATAGTTGCTAATTTACGTCCAATGTTTGAATCTAAATAAAGCCAAAATTTCGTATTTATCAGTTTTTCTACCTCTTACCAGTAAACCCATATACTTGTAAAATCTGGAATTCCAACATATAAAAGGATATAAATATGCATATAATTTTTTTACATTCGATGTAGATATGTACAAGCAGTTCACTCGTCTGAAGAAGAAGAACCCGAACGCGAAAACACTTTTGGCTGTCGGAGGTTGGAGTATGGCTTCGCAACCTTTTACAGCGATGGTTAGAAGCAAAGAATCGAGAAGAGACTTTATCATTCATGCAATACGCTACCTGAGAACTCACAATTTTGATGGCCTTGACCTGGACTGGGAATATCCCGCCAACAGAGGAAGTCCACCTGAGGATAAACAGAGATTTGTAGAATTAGTCAAGGTAAGGACAATGGTTTGTATTCTTGCTTCAAAGATTCGAACGGGATTAAGTGATACGAAATCTCCTCAAATCGCCAATATGTTTTCCCAATATTATCCTCGACTTTAAAAGTGTCGTACTATGAAGAGTTTCAATTCTTTGCTGGGTCATCTTCAAAAGAAGATCTGTTAAAAAGCGGGTGTCTATTCAGCGAATCACTAAATGAACATGTTTCCATTGGTTAAAAGTAAGTTCCAGTGGAGAACCATTGTTTTCCAGATCGCTACAAAAGGTTTAAAAATAGTGGGATTTTCCCAAAGAAAAGTGGTCATTATCAGCGTACTTGTAATCTCGGAAAAGACTGAAAGAATCGGGAATCGATTGAAATTGGAAGCATAGTGAAAAGAGCACCGGAATATTGCGTAAACAAGCTGTCAATTGACCCCGCCATAACGAATACCAGCTGATTTTGCTGGTATAAATAATAATAATAATAATAATGATAATGATAATAATAATAAACTTTTTATATAATGTCACAGGTATATGTCATACGGAAAATATATTCTCTGTGTCGAGTCTCTTCAGGACATTGGCAGTCATGACTCTCCACAAATTGCTATCCGCGGTGTCCCCTTGCCGTTTTTCTCTCTTTACTAAGGACACTCCCACCAATGTTCCGTTATTCATTCACACAGGCTCGCAGTAAGTGGCTCTCTGATCTCCCCTATCTCTCTTGCCCTCAATATGCCCAGTGAGGATTAAGTTTTCCAAACTCCTCTGCCTCATTATGTGTTCATGGAATTTCTGCTGTTTTTTCCTGATTCGGAGTATAGATGCTTTTTTTCGGTCGCCATTTTCTTTGACTTCCTTGTTACTTACTCGCTTCGTCAATGAGATTTTTAATATCTTTCGTTTTTATTTATTTTTTTTTAAAATCATTTCACCCCAAGCAAGACGAGAATGCCACTAGTACGCAGTGGGGGGGGGTTACAGAGAGTGAAAGTTTGAGAAAAACCTGAGGACAGGAGGAGGATTGAGGAACCGTTAAAAGATGAACGGGATTCAAGACGACAGAAGATGGCGATTGACGTTGCATTTAAACTTTTGAAGATTCTATTTACCAGGAAAGCAAGTAAACGGAAGTAAGTTCGAGAAAAGAAACTTTTGGGGTAGAAGTGATGGTTATATTTACCTATTTCAACGGTAAAAATGTCGAACCTAGATGCAGACACGTAGCGCGCTTAAATTTATATAGTCAAGGCACCAGGGAAAATATATCGTTGGAGAAGTTGCCATGAAAATTGTGGAAAAGACAGAGGAAAGCCGCATCACGTCTGTGAGAAAGTGACTGTATTGGAGTTGCCGAGTCAGGATCGATTACATTTCAGATCCTTCTTTGGATTTTGTCAAGAACTTCGAGATGAACAGCAAGGTCACCAGACCAGATAGGGCAACAGTATTCAATTCACGGACGAATGGTAGATTTGTAAATGTGCAAGATGGACTCTGACGAGAAAAACCTTCTGGCACGACACAATGAACCAACTTTCCTTGCAACTATTGATTCAATGTAGTTGTTCCACTTCAACTCTGTTGAAAACGTGAGGCCAAGGAGGAACCAAGAGATGCTCTCCTCGAGTCGAGCATCAGCCAGGCTTATGGCAAGCAGGGAAGTTTCTCCATAGTGGTTAAATGAGAGTAGTTTAGTTTTTGAGGCATTAAAATTTACAAGCCATTTCCTGCCCCAGTTAACCACTGATTGGAGGTTCTTTTCAAGAGCTGGGGCCAGATTTATTTTGTCAGCTCTAATGGATTTGCTATGGAGAGTAAATGCTATAAATCTTTTTTGCAAAGTTTTCACCTAAAATTTGTTTTACAAGTTTATTCAGTATGCTATGTATTGACAATGATTGAAATATTGTCAGTAGTCAAAAGCTAATTCATTCAGGCAGAATGGGACTATTGTAAGAGAAAGTAGAATGTCTTATAAATTAATTGAAAATTAGAATGAAATGTATTGTCAGTTATACGGAAATAAGGATTGTTAACAGAATCGGGTTATCATACATACATATAACTGTGTCGATAATGATTTTAGTACATACATACATTGAATTAAGTTTTGAGTCACAGTGTCTTTAAATTAACTGACCCTTCCTCAGTGTCATAACAACGAGGGTCGGCTGAAAAGTTCAGTTGCAAAATACTCTCATCGAATGCAACCAAATGAGGTTTATTTTCCAACATAGTCCCCCCTTGCGATCCATACACTTTTTCCATCGGTGTTGCAGTGTTTGTACCTCCTTTGTTGAAGATTTCATTTCGATTGTAAAAAAATCATCAACAGAAGATATGTTATAATCACTGCGATACAGGTTCCCAACCAAGTATTTTTTCCCTGTTGGGGAACAGATGATAGTCGAATGGGGCGAATTGGGAGGATAATCAAACAGTTCAAAGCTACAGTCACACACAACAGCCATCGAAAATAAAGACTGTGATGGAGCATTGTCCTGATGAAATAATATCCTTTTCATCGTACTCTCCACTGATGGTGTAGACCTTTTGAAGATAGTCAATAAACATAATGCCTTTTGCTTCGCAAAAAACTGACGCCATCACCTTCCCTGTAGATGAAACAAACTTCGCCTTCTTTGGAGCAGATGAGGAAGGGTTTTCCACTGCATCGATAATCTCTTTGTTTCTGGCTCAAAGTGGTAAACCCAATAATCATCCTAAGTTAGAAAATGTTCAAGGAAACCAGCTGGATCTGCCGCAAACTATGTTGGAGTTTCTCGTGATGTGATCAGCCTGATGCCAGAAGACGTAGAATCCACTGAGTAGAAGACACCACCCAGTGATTGAAAGTCGCTGACCGAAAAGTGAAAAGACCTTGTTATTTCGATACCCCTCTCCCTCTCGCTTCATCCAAGAAGTGATGCTACCATTACTGTCCACCTCTCTGAAATAAAGCGAGGAGAAGAATATAAAAAAAAAATTGTTCGTCGTTCCTTTAGTCGGTGATGCAGCGTTGGAACCTGAGGAATTGCCGATAAATCACAAGAACGACACAGTGCAACATAACATAGGCATTTGTCCTCCATCCATGCCATTGATAGCTTTTTATTCTATTTTTACTCTTGTGGAATATTCTGATCAATAAATTGATTCTTTTTCTATATTGTATTAAGTTATCATTACAAACGAAGCTTAATTCTGTTGCAAATTTATTAATGTTAGTTTTACCCTCTTATCATAAAATAGCTGAAGAACGAAAAATTATTATTTTTGAACACAGTGAGAGTATATGATATACAAATTTTCAATCCCTGTTGCAGACGCCTGTTCAGGAACATTTGTTTGTTCAACACACCCAGATTTATACTGTATTTATGCTGAGTGGACCTTTGATTTCTGGGAAATCCGGCGTCATCAATAGTCTGTACATTCACATCATCGGTCACGATGAATACCCAATTTCACTCAATAACATCCGATAAGATCAAGAAGTCACCTGCCTGATAAATCGGCCACATTTAGAATCGAACCCGGGTCACATGGTCGGCAAGCAAGCGTACTAACTGATAATGGATAGATGAATGACAAAATGGAAAATATTATCTTCCAAGATGACTACTGCAGATTAAAAAAGTTTTTTTAATGAAGCAATTATATATATATATATATAGAACGAAATACAACAAACGCTAGTTATAATTATACACCGAGAAAACGCTGATGAAATTTAAATTTTAAATACTTGACGTCCGATGTGTAGCGATGCATAACCTAACCAAACACATTCGGCTTTCTACCGTTTTTGTATTTGTTTTATCGCTATTTGTGTTTAAATATCTCACATTATGGCAGCGTCTGGTTTTGTTAGGGAAGATGATATGATGTATGAGACTAGACCTAAATTTATTGTGGAAGACTCATAAATTAGTACACTTTCTCTTTATTTTTGCCTTAATAATTTATTGTGAGTTTTTATTATAGACTAGAATTACAACGAAGTGTATATTTTCTTCTTCTTCTTCTTCTTCTTCTTCTTATTATTATTATTATTATTATTATTATTATTATTATTATTATTCTTAGGAGTTGCGGTTGACATTTGAAAAGGAAGCCGTTGAAACCAACGCCCCCCGTTTGCTTCTTTCCGCTGCAGTTGGATGTGGAGAAAAAACCATCAGGTCAGCCTACAATGTGAGCGAGCTTTCAAAGTGAGTCAACCATTTCGACATTATCGCAGCTTTATACTTCCTTTCAGTGTTTTTTTTTTCTTTCTATCTTTTTCTTTGCTTATCTTTTTCTTTGTTTGCTTTCTTCTTTCTTTCAGTCAATATTTCATTCTTTCAACTTCCTTTAAGTCTTTCTTTCAATCTTTCTTTCAGTCCTTTTTTTTCTATTTCTATTCAGTCTTTCTTTCTTTCTTTCTTTCTTTCTTTCTACTTCCTTTAAGCTTTTCTTTCTTTCTAGTTCTTTTCCATCTCTAGCTAGTTAGCTTTCTACTTTCTTTCTTTCTTTCTTTCTTTTTTTCTTTCAGTCAATCTTTCATTCTTTCTACTTTCTTTAAGTTATTCTTTATTTCAGTTTTTTCTACTTTTATTCAGTCTTTCTTTCTACTTCCTTTAAGTCTTTCTTTCTTTCTAATTCTTTCTTTCTTTCTTTCTAATTCTTTCTTTCTTTATTTCTTTCTTTATTTATTTAATTAATTCAGTCTTTCCTTTTTTACTTCCTTTTTTCCTTTTTCTTTGTTTCTTTATTTCATTCTGTCAGTCTTTTCTTCTTTTTACTTTCTTTCTTTCTTTCTTTCTTTCTTTCTTTCTTTCTTTCTAATTCTTTCTTTCTTTCTACTTCTTTCTTTCTTTATTTATTTAATTCGGTCAGTCTTTCCTTCTTTCTACTTCCTTTAAGTCTTTCTTTCTTTCTGTCCGTCTTTGCTTCTTTTTACTTCCTTTCTTTTTTTTTCTTTCTTTCTTTCTTTCTTTCTTTATTTTTTATTTGATTCTGTCAGTCTTTCTTTCTTTTTACTTTCTTTCTTTCTTTCTTTCTTTATTTCTTTCTTTCTTTCTTTCTTTCTTTCTACGAACATGCTCTTGTTCCTCTTCCGTCTTTACATATCTAATCATTTACTAAATTCTATTAAATAGTTTTTACTTTCTTGTTTTTTTTTTTGCTATCTCCTAAGCAAAAACTTGTCCATGATTTCAGATGCCATTTAACATTTTAAATATTCTAAAACAACTCAACTCTTTGCACGAACGACCAGCAAGATCGCGTTGCACTTAAAAATGTCCGAACTCACGAAAAATGGCTTAAGTTACTTGTATCTTCATTTACTCATTGGCAAAGCTCATTTTCTTAAAAGCATCTGAAAGATGAAAGGTGCGTTGTATTCAACAAATAAGATTATAAATCAATTTCTGTTTCCTTATATTAAGAATAGCAACACTTTAAGCATCATAATGTTGCCACAGGTATTTAAGCATTTCTGACTTTTAAAAGATATTTTGTTCAAGAGCGTTACAAGCGCATTTTTTTGCAGAAAATTGCATATATATTTATTTCAGACAAAACTGAATTTATATTCCTGTAGAATTTTATTGCAAATATTTTTTAGAGAAATTGACATCTTTAGATTCAGAATTTTATGGGCTTTTTAATGGTACATTTTATGGGCTTTTTAATGGTACATGTAGTGAAGCTATGTCTGTTGAGCAAGAGAAGTTATAGCACAAAATATAAAGTACATTATTTTTATTAGAATAGCAAAACAAAGATAGTGTTTTGGTTGGAATATTCTCATATTTATCTTTTAAAATCATTTATAATCTAATGAATTGTTCTAAATCAAAATATTTCACTGACATGAGTGTTATAAAATTTCTTTAATCAATTCACCCCACACAATGTAATATTGTCACTAAGACGCAAGGAGGCTACTGAGAGTGAAAGAGAATGAAAAGAATTTAGAAGGAACTAGAAACCTAATCCTAAATATGAAACAACTATCTATTCATGTTCAAAAGATCAGGAAGGAGTGTGAACCGGACGATAAGCAAACCGATCTACTCCTATTAAGAGAAAAAAATAGTAAATAAAATTTCAGATTTCAGGCGAAGATGTCAGAAGTATAGAATTGAGGTAGACTTTAGAAGGAACCAGAAACCCAATTCTAAGCAAGGAACAAGGGATAAACATCTACACCTGTTCAAAAAAATCGGGGTGAGGTATGAACTGGACAATAGGCGAAACTGTATATTCCTATTAAATGTTTTTAATATTTTATAATTTATAAATCCTTTTCTTGACATACTTTAAATTTGGAGCCTATTTACGGCGACGATATGTCTGGCCCAGGGAAATAAAATGTGAATGTTCTGGGGAAAAAAGCATTTAAAATAAAAACGCTTCATTTGAATTATTTTCAACCAATCATAGGAACAGATTTTCAAATCCGTGATAAGGAAAATAGATAACTAAGGAATCCTGGAGACCTCAAAGTGGTTACTCGGTGAAAATCATTATTCATTCACGCGTCGTCAGCATGGATAGTCATAAAAGTGGGGATAATTAGGTCAACATTTGCAAGTGAGATTAAAGAGAAGATGCTGAAAAGTCATGTGACCTAACAAAAGTTAACAATTTGTTTTGAAACTGTTATGGCAAGGTTCCTTGTACTCCGGGTGATGGTCCAAGGTAGAACCAATAAAGAAGAACTCGAACACATATATGGAATAACACAGATATATTACAAACAGGAATATATACAGTGAAGTAGAAACTGTTAGTATGAACAATCAGGTTTAGTAGGGAGAACAATGTAGTTTCGACTAGTATCACTATTCCAATGTCTTGTAGTAATTGTCTGAACGCGACTCTGTTTCAGACTGCCTCTGACTCGACTGAGTGACTGACTCCAGACGGACCTCACTCCAGACTTCAGACTGAACGGTATTTAGTCACCCCTCCCCTACGAGGGTATCATGTGGCACAAGGCCGGTTTAACGTGGGATCTCCGAGCCCGTGAGCTCGGCCAAAAATATGCCCTTTGAACCCGTATAAACGGGTTCAGGGTTGGTTTACCTCCCCGAAAGAGACTCCGCCCTTCGGCGTAGCCTCGTTCGGGTGCCTCCCCGCCCGAAGGCAGAGAGTTCAACCGATCAGCCAGTCAGCCGGTCGCCCGACTTCGGGCTGGACTCCCTGCTTCCTCTTGAGGCGCAGTATTTATTACGTATGGAATAGTCCATTATGTTATTATGGGTAAGGTCCCATAACAGAAACTATCTTCAAAGAGACACAGACCAAGCCTTTGTCCCATTGTCATATCGTTGCTATTAAAAATCCTCATTTGGTCTATAACAATTTTCGTGACTACTATGCTGTCCTCGACTGTTGACAGATCAGAACTTTTACAACTACGGGAGAACGTTCACTGTATCCCTGTAACAATAGGCATTTTTAACTTTTTCACTTGTATGTCCCACTTTTAAAGAAACGATTCTCTTCTTGAGAATTTACAACAAAAATAGTAAATATTTGTTACATTGTTTATTTATAAGAAAACTTTTATATTTACAATACTCTAAAAACAAATACAATTGTATCCAAACTAATACAATGGAATATTTATCATTTACTAATTTAGAAATAAATAAATTTGAAAACAATTTTTTATTCATAAATTTATAAACATTTACTAAGTTATTAAAATATGTGAACCAACTCTAAGGAAATCCTCATTATTTACCATTTTATAAAGTTTGAATCAGTTGGCAATTGGTCGATGTTTTTGCCAAACATTCCAAGAAATAATATAATAAATAGTGAAAATAAACAATCTAATAGTGTTTATAATTTTTGTTATCAATTCTCAAGAACAAAGAAAATCTATAAATTCACTTTCATCATATGTTTCGGTTTTATTCCAGTTGTAATCATCGGTTCTGAAAAGAATAAAAGTTACCGAAGAGTTAGCGGTGATATGGAGGGGAAAACACTGTCTTATTGCGGGCACGAATGTCCATGTTTGCCGAATAACAATTCTTCATACTAACCATGTGGTTGATGCTATTTTGGGGGAAACTTGAGCAATACAACATTCTGACCAAACTATATTGCTTTTTAGAAGTTAGAAATTAAAATCTAACAGACTAGCATCTCAATAATAGGAACTTTAATCAAACCAACAAAGGCATTTGAGACATAGAAAATCATGAATGTTACAATCTGTCTTTGCCAATTTAAATATTTTACACAGAAATACAAAATATGCTAATCATTTGTGTTACTCCAATGTCAGTGAAAAATATTTTTTTTTTTTATTTAGGGCTCATTATTTTAGAATTTATTCAATGACAGTCTTTTATGTATCGTGTCTCTTCAGGACGTTGGTGATCTTTACTCTCCACAACTTCCTACCCTTTGTAGCTCTTAGAAATGATTTTCCTATTAATTATACCTCCGGTCCATGTTGTGCCATACATTTACATAAGCTCGTTATATAAGTTACCATCTGCCTTTTTTGCATTCAATATATCCGGTGAATGTTAGATTCTCCAAGCTCTCATTACTCCTGGGTATAACAATAAACTACATCCGGTAGCAAGGCTTCTGATCGGGAGACTGGAGGTTTTGAGGAGCGTGGAACCACCTCTTAATTGCTGTTAATCCCAGAACCACCCTCACCCGGAATGGTAGCATCTACCAGGTCCCAGCTATCGGCAAATAGTGCCCCCCACCCCCTCAAAAAAACCCACGATGATCGTATCAAGATAAATTCTTATATTAAAATACCAGCAATATATTTTTATATAAAAAAAGATAACAAAATACATTTTATCTGTAGTTGAAGGCATAAAATTACGTTCAAAATGTTGAGTTGGTGCATAATTATCAGGCGTTTTTAGGCGAGTTATTTGTTAATAAAAATTGTTGTTTTGTTTAGTTTTTTAATAAAAATATTTTATTTTCAGGTTATAAAAATGTGTGTCGATAATCATACTCATTTAAAAATGTTATTGTTGAATTTTTGTATTTCTTTTTCATAATAAATATTATTTAAAAAACGCTTGATAATTATGCACCGACCCAATATGTTTAGTTGAAGCCATAAAATTATTCCGAAATATTTAGATTTTGGCATTAAATGACCCATAGAGCTGCTGATATGCCGCTAAACAAAATCAACCAAGTACTCTTTCATAATATCTGTTCTGATCCTTAGCACAAATACCCATTTCCTTCTCATTCTATATATTGTTTTAAAAGAGGGAAATACGTTTTCCTACCAAAACTTGTTCTTTTTGCCATTTCAGTAGAAATAACGTACTTTTATTTTGTCATATAACGTTTTGCTTAAATGGATTGACAAAATATTCCATTAAAAAGCTCATAAAATTCTGTATAGACAGATCTCACTTTCTCGACTCTATAAAGAATTATACACGACTCTCTAAGCACAATCTCAGAGAGCTTATTAAAGAATGAATTTACGAACAGTTTGCGGAATTAGCGGGATTATTGTCCAATAGGACGAACTGCATGATGTGCACAGAGAGTTAAATAAGAGAAAGCTTTTTTAAAACTAGCGTCTAATTACAGACATGTAAAGGTATGTCCGCCAAGGCAAATCACAAGTGTTCATGGGAGTCGCTATTGACTGAAACCAAATTCTCTTTATTATTTGTCAGTAGGGTTAAGGTTTATTTCTGAGATGAGATATTGTAACTATTTACACTATTTAAATTGTTCGGACTTTTGTCCTCATCTTTACTGTCATATTCACGACGTTTCAACCGTTGTACGCCCCGGTCTTCTTCAAGTGATATACGCTGGAATTACGAACCAGGTATTCACAATTCTTCGGGTCAAGTCACTAGATAACTTCAACCAACGCTTTTATGCACTGATGCTCCCAAGGGCACATGGCCCACTGGATAAAAGCTTTGGTTTAATGGTTCGAAATTCCAACGTATTCTCTATATTAATAAGTTAATAATAATTCATAGGTAGTGTGCTTCTCATGGAATTTCACCTTCAAAATTTCGCCAATGTTATATTCTTATATTTGTTAAAGGTCGTGTCCTGAATGATAAGGTATGATTTTAAGATGAGGCAAATGAATGCGTGCGTCA